AAACTTGGTGAGTGACATTGAAACGAAGAATTCGCATGGTGTGGTGGTGAACGCGTTATCCTGCGGAAAGGATAATAGCGCTTTTGTTCCCTACCGCAAAAACCTGCGGTATGGAGTTTTGCAAATATCTCAGCTTCACTGTGGTTGTATTTCACATAATACCACCCCGTGAGAAATTGTAATAGGCACAAAATAAAAAGTTAACATTGTGATCATACAAGCCGCTACGAACTAGTTGATGCCATGGAGTGCTAATAATATTTCAATCAGTACTACTCATTTCTCTAAACCATCACTTTTTAAGACACGCTTTGTATTTCCTTCTATTTCGTTTCGGGTAAATGGAACGACAAATGACCTTGCTTTTACTTTGGGGCTTTCTGTTTGTATTAAATCTATTACGAACAACTACCGATTTGTAGCCATTGGAAATGCTTATTTGCCATGCGAAATTGAGTGATTCCTCGTTTTGCTCTCTTTCTGTGAACACACTCGTGTCTATTCGAGGCACATTCTCATAACAGACTTTTCATTGTGCGTAAGGTAGGAGAAGACGTAATGAACTAATTTTTGCTACCTGGTTTTCGGTACCACTTTGTTGCGCAGCTATTTTCCAACAACGCTCAAAAACGGACCCACGGGTAGAAAAACTTAGTTCATAAACCTAATATTCAACCAGTTGCTCAAACATATAGCATTTCATTTCAAATGAACCCCGATTGTCTACGCATCATGTAGTCTAACAGTTCGTACTTGATGGAGTCCTCCGAAGTTATCGCCCTTTATACAAACGTGGCGAATGAATCTGGAATGTCCGCGAGTTCTTCATGAATATGAAGAAGCAATAAACATGTATGGTTTCTCGATTCGGCAGCTTCTGACCATGGTAAAAGATTACCTGAATCGCTCAATTTTAAAATGGTTTAAAAAATTATGTGCACAAAGAAGAGAGTAGACAATGGGACAGCGACTGGCACTACATGACACTGCGATCATCTCTAAAATACAGTTCCCGTATGCAGTCTCATGCCACTACTGTACAGTAAGTATGTAGATGACTGCTTTCTCCATCTTGTTACCTATTGAAAAAAGATGGATACTCGTCCTGGAATGCTGAACCAGCAGCGGCAGCACATCAAGTTTATCAGGGAGAGGACGAGGAAGACTTGCTTTCACTTCTGAGCGTTCGAGTTGACCTGTCCATAAACGGCTACATCACGAATTGGTACCAAAAGTCAATTACAAATGCTAGTGGTTCATCACCTGTTCTCTCACACTTCATCCACAAAAAAAGCGCATGTGAGAAACGTGTTTCTAAAACCTGCCAGTTTGCGCAGCGAAAACAATCAGAAGGAGGAATCCCTGAATTTCTAGCCAAAATTTTCATTTCAGTGAGTGCCAAATGATAGGTACTTAGGGTAGTTTTAGAAAAAATTACACCTCGAAAAGATTATTCTAGTTGAAATAAGGCTTCGTTTATTCTCCCTCCATCTTTAACAAAGTAAAGGTCCTGAAAAATGGCTATTCTACAGATTTTGCCTACATTAAATGAAATAACACTGAACACTCCAAAACGTCAAACCGGTCGTAACTGCCTCTATATACGTCTGAGTAACACGAAATTTCATAAATTGCCCTAAATGGCAGAGGCGGTAGCTGCATGAGTTAGGGCACAGTATATCTAATCTCTTATAGAGGCGGCAAGAATACGTTGGCGAAACCGGTAGACCGCTTTAGATTCCTATAAGAGAACACGTAAAACTCACTATCCTGGCGCAGCTGTCCACAAAATTGGTGCGTAAAAAGCTTGAAGCGTTCTGGATAAGCTCCTGTTGCCCAAAAGTGAATCGCAAGTAGAAGGGCTTCGCGATACGACGCAACTTCGTGCCTCAGGCTGATTTTTTGACTTGAGCCGGATACACTTTTCACCCGGTAAGACTGTGTTCGACTAGTCTTCATTAATACCTGGAGGACTTGTGAATAACTGAATGCTTAACGAAAACTGTTTATTGTGGAAGTAAACATTTACTTATTAAGTTTTATCTTTTCAGGTTATAGATGTATTTGGCTGGGTAGATTACACGCCGACTGGATCGTTCTAGGCTCTGGAATGGTGAAACCATCGAAACGTCTCCTATTGTTGACGGAAAACTGCCGTAGCAACAACCGTGCGTTTTCTCATCAAGAAAACAGAAAAGCAATTTATTCTTGATGAGCCGTGGAAAAGCTGCAAGGTCTGCTAGCACTGGTTGATATTTTTAAACGATTTTCCTTCTTTTAACTTCCCTCCTTATCGCGTAAGGGCGATTTTTTACTAACCGTCCATGGTTTTTTAACATCGAGAGCACTTGAAGACCTCAAGATTTGTAAAACGTATGGAAATGGCATTGGTCTATTTTATTTGTTTTCGAAAAATGCTATTTAAGATTGCTTCTTTTTTTTACTATTTTACACGAACTGTTATCACATCAACTGTGCCGACTTCACCACTTATTGCATTCGGTTCATGTTTCTCGCATTCATTGCCCATAATGGTCTTCGAACATATCACATGCTGCATCGGCTGTTGCTTAATTATTTTCTCTTTTCATGAATGTTGTTGAATGCTGCTTGAGTTGTCTCCCTTTGTAATCTTAGAAATAACCGAGCTAAGCCGTTCTGTGTGAATCAGAGGAAAACATTGGGAAAGGGATCGAACTAGCAGCTTTGTTTTCTGATCGACGACATCACTAACCACTGCACTGACCTTTCCCTTATCTTAGTTTAAAACCTATTTCGAATTCGCATTTGCAAAATTTAGGAGCGAAATTTGGTTTTTTGGCGATATAGTCCGTATTCTGCCGGATCTCAAAGGCGAAAAAAAGCGATTCGTGGGATTCGGAAAAACAGAATAAGAAAACTCGTATCTTTTTAGTGAAGATTTTTGGACTCTGTTTATCTATACTTCATTTAATAGACGTCATTCTAAGCTGGGATCTGGTTACTTAAAGTTTAAAACCTTATTGATATCAGGTACGTGTGCATTGAAAGCAAAGCGTAACGTCGCAGTGTAAACTATATCGACTTGGTTAGTACGTCATATGAGCGTAGACTGAAGCTAACAACGGTTCTAGTATACGTTTGAAAAATGGAGATGCTTAAAACATCGCGAAAGTTTCGGATAAGCGCAAGTAATCCTCAGTATAAATCGTAGAGAGGAATGCCTTATAGTCACAGCTCATTTAGCTCCTCATCCGTGATTGATAGTTTCTTTTCCCATTTGAGAGATCCACATTTGTCATCTGATGTGTGAACTCTGTGACACTTGTCTCGTTTCCAAGAAAGCGAACGACCCGTACGATGGATGTTTGCAAAACAGCCTAATGTGTGATAGAAAATTTTTTTGAGACTTCGCTATGGATTTATAGAAATGTTTGGTAAAATTAACAACATCGTTAACAAGACGAAGTAAGTAAGATCCAATATCGCGTCCAATAAGAAATCAGTTTTAGTAATTTGATTATGTTTATTTTCTCAATCACTCTCCACACAACAGAGCTTGATTCTGAGAGGAAATTTCTAGAATGTTACTCATGTGAAAACTTCAAAATTGCTGTACCTTTTTATTCAGTCCTAACGTTTGGAGATGTTCCAGGACGTCACTATATACTATATTATATATATAGTCACTATATACTATATATATGCTATATATATACATTATATATATAACGTAACTTCAGTGCCTTGCAAGCTGAAAGGATTCGATACTGCCACCTGGAAGCTCAGCTAATAGCTAAGTAAACAAACCAGTGCCAGGAATCATTGCCATTCTGAAAACAGTACAGTCAACTGCTTTGCTATCTTCTATCGACGAGCTGGGAAAGGTTATAGCACGGAATTCGAGATTCGAGTGAATGTAATGCTCGTTCAATAAGCAGATTATCAGTGAAATTGGGACCTGTGCGATTTTAAGTGGCACGTAGAAACAATGCATTCATGTCTTCCACTGCGCACCTTAAATGTGGTATGACAGAAACGCTTTATGGCGGTAATTCTCAGTTTAATAGAAAAATTTAACTTCGTTATCATCGACTTGAGAGGGTGCATGACACAGGGATTAAAGATGATGACCTGCAGTAAACACTGGGTCCATCGCTGGTTCGATCTAGCGTCCCTAGCTGTCCAAACTTTCCTTTCCTTCGGGGTCGGCAAATTAATGCCATATCTGGCGGAGAGCAGCAATTAGTTTATACATTGATTCGCTACCGCGAGTAGTTGTGCAGGCTAGATATGCATTCAACCTTCTTTAGCGATGCTTGATGAAGTCGAATTCATGGCACATTCCTCACGGATTGATCAACAGCAAGTGCTGTATCCTCTTATCTTGAGGTTTGCGATGAGTAACCTAGACATCATCCAATAGTTGTTCTAGAAAAGATTCAAACGTTCAGAAATTATTTTCTGGATCCTGCGAAAAAATTTTAATTGCAGCCGTTATTCATCATGAGAGTTGACACGGGTGCCTAGTAACAATGCTGCGAAAACGAAAGAGTAGCTTACACCAGCTGTGACCACTCACTCCGTTCACACTGCAAAGCTAATGAAACCAGCATCATCTAAATATTTATACCTCTCACTTGTCTAAGATACTACTTTACACATCCGAAAAATTTGTCAGAATTTTTAGTTACATTTAAGAATATTAAGCTCATAGAAATAATAAATATTTTATGTGAAAGAGCGACAACATAATACGGCAATGGTCAGTCTAAAATTAAACTTTAAAATCGGTTTTTAAATAGTTTTAAATTAAAAGCTTTCTCATTCGTATGTTTTCGTCTATAATACATGCATTACAATACATGTTATGTTACACAGTTAGATAAAAATTTAGAATCAGTGGCTCTTCTTGTCCCCTTCTCCCCCCTCCACCAAAAAAATTGCTTGAATAAAGAAAAAGAGCGAAAGACACGTGAACGGGAATTAAGAAATACCTCAATAGCCAATGTTGAGCCTAGTCAAACAAATAAATACGCTTTCAACGTTACAAAAATGATTGGAATCGAATCGGCCAGTGCTAAACAGCTGTTTCTCAGTCGTCTAGCGATGGCTCTTGGTCGTAATCCGCCGATATCCTTCTGACTTAACCAATCCTTACAGCTTCTTGGCAGATCATTCAACTTGAGAACTTTATCCAGTAGTTCCATAAGGGCACTGAATACAAAGACATCGTTCAACATATGCCAACGACTAAACGGGCACCACGAACTAGTGAATTTTTAAAATATCTCGACACTATTTGCAACAAAAACTGGCAAAGAGATAATTCTGGAATGACAGCGACAGCTAAAAATATAAACCAACAGGAAATAATCCTAAACTCGACTACTCCCAAATATTTTAAAACAGTAGTTTTACATTTGAACCAAATTCTACTTTGGTCCGATACTCTCATATGATTTCCTGTTCCAGTGCTTGAAGAAGCAACTGAGCATATGCGAAAATACCACAGTACACAGTACAAGTCACCCATGCTTGGAAAAGCTACGACATTTTCAAGCCAAAGCAACAGTAGGAATCGCTGTAGTCTTTGAAAGATCTAGCTGCAATGTAACTAATATCTCCCTGACAAACAAGGCCTGGTGGTCGTTTGTCGCGATGACTTCGAAAAGCCATACCACAGCTACCTAGGAAAATAAAATCTTTCTCAGCTCGCGAATTGCAAGTCAGGTGATAATTTTGTTGGTGTATGCACAATTCTCCGTGAAAACGGGTCTTTTATGCGTTCGACAAAGTGAGGCTGACATCCACGATTAATGAATATTCGAGATACGGCACTTAGCTTTGCTACTTCAAAGCCACCACTGTGAGACCCTGGGACCTGATTAAGGACCTACTTCGTTGCAGTCGGTGCAAAAAAAGTGTGTGCTATCCTAAAGAATTTTAGCAACTAAATTTACCACAGAAAGCATTCCAGTAGTAAAAAAAAAAGCAGTAGCGAAACTCACTGCGATGTTTGATGAGTCAACTTGACTAAAAATTTTCCAGCTTTTGAGCCACAAGCTTCGTAATTTTTTCTAACAAAACATTTGTCATAGGAGTGTACACACCTAAAAATTGTTTATGCCAGAACATCAAAATTCACCCGAAAGCAATAAAATATTTATGCCTTCGAAGAGATTACCTACAAAGGCCATCCAATCCTTGGTGCACGTTTTCCAAACCTCCTTCCATGAGTTGAAGAATTTCGGCTTGCAGAAAGTGTGCCATCGGAGCGCAGTGACTTGTTAGTGTTTCTCCCATTGTTGACCAACATGGCACAACAACCTCTCGGAAATCTAGGTAGTCACATTTAGTGGTAGAATAGTAGCTGTCTGTGAAGTAGCCGTTACCAGTATCGTTTCTGAAGTCATCGCAAATAATGTTCCAAGCTGTTTGCCCACTCATTAGAATGCGTTTGGCTGGATTCTCTGGGCACATGGATAAACACTGTTGGTAAACTGTATTTAGTCTAAAAAGATAAGTACTATAATAATATAAAATAAATTATCTACACAGAAAAAAATAAGCCTGTGAAATGTTATGCGCAAATATGGAGCAAAGTTAGGAAATATGTTTTATTTTCAAATCGAACAGCGTTATGACATCTGACACACCATCGCAACGGTGAAGAAATGAAGCACATACGATTCCATTAGGATACGACTCGAAACTTTGAGCAATCCACCCTACAGAGTCACTTATAGTAAAGGTTAACCAGGCATTCAAATTGAAATTCAAGATCGTTAAACCTGTCGAGAAATTGAACAAGCGGAAGCTCAGATAAAAGTAAATCATCGCAAGGAATCGTTACTATAACATCAGATATGGAGTCTTAACTTGCAAAACCTCTTTTCGACCTACAAAAGGCGATGATGTCCTGCGTACACCCTAACATCTTCGCTTTCTCGAAAAAAAAGTTTAGTAGTTAAATAATGTCCAAAATAAAACCAACGCGATGAAAATGAACTACCTAGCTATCCAGTAACAAAATGAATATTCTACCTAAGCTTATGTGTTGAGAAACAACAGCCATTCGAGCAAATAAGCATAGATTGATGTGTAAGCGACAACGAACAGCGATTAAAATCCGTATCGTCATGCAACTTATAGAAGCCTTCCAGATGGCAAACATCACCATCCTTTGCGGACTATGCAAAAAAACGTATGATCAGAATGATGCCTTTTCAGCAACTCAGCTATGTATGCTTTGTTGACGACATACTTTTAAGCACAATAGAAGAAGTGAAAAGTATGTTGAAGCACTGTTGGACGACTGAGTTGTAACATCATTTTACGAAAGAATCCGTTTATATCCTTATATTTCCATTCAAAGGATTTAAAGGATCTTTCTTCTCAGATTTCAGAGTTCATATCCCTGGTCAAACCTCAAACAAAGAAGTAGCTAGTGTTTTTTATCGCATCATACAGAAGAGTATTCAAGTTAGAAATCTAAATAGAGTTCAGTGTTGCATGGATAGAGCGCGTCCCATGAATAAACAACGGCATAAAATTTTAAATAACAGAAGAAACATCAGCGGTAGGTATTGCTGACAATGATTTTGAAAGCTGAGAATTACGCTATTTGTACTCGTAAGTGGTAGGCAAGTTTTTGGAGAACTCTATCAAGAGGTCGACGTGGCGTATTAGGTGACACAGGCAACTGAAATTACTTTTCTTGACGCTGTAAACTTAATTCAAAAAAATCCTCTGACTACGACCTTATAGATTCGTTCCGTGTTTCCATCGCTTTCGATTATACGATCTAACTAATCCACCTTATCACAATGTTTGCCATGGACTTCGGACTTAATTCTTTGGGCTAACGAGTACAGCTATGTCCATATTTGGTGCTCTGTAAATGTTTGTTTGACAGAATATATTGGGACGAAGGTTCATTCTTCCGTACTTATGATTACTTCTGATGATAACCATGAAAGCTGGACATTCACACTGGTTAGATTAATATTTCAATCCAGATGGGAAACCTCATAATGATGCCGCGGTGTTAACAGAATTCATTTCAGTTTTCTTACAGCGCTTATTCGTGCAAGTTAAGAAATTATCTAATATTAGAAGCTTAACAGTTTTCTGTGGACATAACAACTGTGGACCACTGGTTCACATCGGCTCTGATGAAGACGAAGGCGCGAAAACGTTAGCCAAAATAAATATACGTATCAACCTCTTGTAAGCTCAACAATTTAAAAACATGTTGATTGGAAGCGTATTCGTGAGAAAACGTAGACTCAAAACAAGAAATGTACTTTAAGGACTTATTAGTTAAAATATTTGCGTTCCTTGAGGAGAAAAGGAACATTGCTCAGAGAGCTAGAGAACGTTTAGTAATTACAGCAGTAAAATAGGTTTCCAAGAATCTTCCAATCTAGTCGGTAACTCTGAAAGGAGGGGTGACTGCACGAAGAAGACCTTTTTCAGTGTTATTCAACTTTATAAAAGTATTTTAGAAGGAATTGTTGCTAATTGATCGCTTAAGCAATTGAAGAACAACTATTTAACAAATGCTACCGCCAACTGATGGCGCTTTGTTTTAAAAAAAGTTTTATGTCTTTCTGTCCCTGTGTCGTTTTGTGCACGCATTTCATTTGTCATTATTCTAACAGCTTGTTTTCATTTTTTTCACACGAATAACATATTTTCTTATCTCTAACCAAATCCAGGGTGTATTTGGTCACTGAGGCATAGGCAACCGTACGCACAACGTAGACCTTAACACTTTCGTGAAATAGTCGAGGATTTTGGAACGACTCAATACTGTAAGCTCTTGAAGACGTCTATTTATACGTTAGCAACGATGTCACTTCTGTAGGAGTCAAACAATGTGAAAATAATGGCCAGTCTCAAATTTTGATCGAGATGTGAGCTCAAGCTGAACTCTGGTAGTTTCAATAAGTGCTACTACAGTTTGCAATTCTTTCCCTACAAGACAAATGCTCTTTAGTTTTAGGACGATGAACTTCTGATTTTCAGCTGCCAGTAACATATATTTCCTCCCCTTTATGATTCAATGCTCATATTTCGAGTAGGAAAGCAAATGAATAAGTGGAATTTCGGGGAGCAGGACAGATCGTGTTCTCCAATGTATCGCATAAATTGATATCTGCCATTTTTTTCACCGAAAATTTCAAAAACATAAATTCCGCAACGAATTTGTGAAAACTCCGATTCTAAACATGTTTAAATTTTAAGGCATACCGTATGAAAAATATGTATTTGGTTAATGAGATGGATAAAAGTCTTTTCGATGAGCTCTAGATTTTTTAACTCTCGAAATGCTCTAAAGGTCGAGAAATTATCGTCGCTTATAGAAAAACCAGCTTCGCGGCGAATGACTTATAGCACAACTGCCTGAAGTTCTCCAATGTTCACAACTAACTTTAAAGAAAAGATAAAGCCTTCGGTGTTGATTCCTCCCTGAGGGATCCGCCATGCATTCGACTTCACTAAGCATCGTTTAGAGGTGGTTGAATGCATATTTGACCATTACAATGACTCGCAGTGGCCTACCGATGTATTCAGCCAGTGCTACTATCCTCCCAGACAAGTCTGGTACCAATTTGCAGACCCTGAAGGGGTAGAAGGCTTGGTGAGCCATGGGCACTACGATCAATTCCACGTGTGTTGCAGGGCACTTCTGACCACTGCGCCACATACGCTCATGTAAATTAAATGGAAATTCAGTGGCACTTCAACAAATAAAGAATTTAGAACTAGAAATGCTGGAAAATCGAAATAGTGGTAGATTCGGTAGACTCCGTTTTTCGCTTCTTCTGTACAAGTGCTGAAGATATCGCGAGGAGTGGAAGAAAATGAAGTGCTAATACATTTTCCACGAATTTTCGTCAAAGAACGCTACGGTGAAATTTTCGTACCTTGGAGGCAGGATTATCCATTTCAACATCTTGAATTGTTAAGAAACTTCCAAAGCAAAAAAGATTAGCAGGTAGTCGATAAAGTGGACTAAAACGCCAATAATTGGTCAGTATCAAGTGGTACCGATTTCGTTGCACTCCCGAAAATACCAGCTAAAAGAATTCTGCTGAAAAGCTTCACCATCCCCTATATCGACTCTTTCGCAACAGGGCAGCCATTAAATCACCAAGCACACCGACTACTCACTGAAAAACCTTGAAATACTGAGCCAATATAGAAAACGCTGCGGGAAATTCGTTGACCCTACAAGCATAAAATTTTACTGTGGTAGATTAAATCAGCCTAAACCTTGCTTGCAGAGATGAGTACAATAGCTTTTATTGCAAGTAATAGTGTTCATTAGCAGTTAAGTATTAGATATTTGATTTTAGTGACCAAAAATCGACGATATTTGAGTTAACCTAACACGGGATGAAGATCTTCCTAGGAATAAAGATTCTGAAAACGTATGTTTTACGCCAAGATACATAAGTAGTACTCTTCAGTAAGACGAAAAATAATTATTTAAAGAATCTCAGAATATTTGGATAAACTATTTAGCAGTTGCCAAGACACAACTGTGAACGAACAGTTAAGAGCTTTCCTCGTCGAATTCAAAGGGCAGTATCTGCTCGGGAATATTGAGAGGAAATGGCTTTCGCGTAGTGTAATGATTGCAACCTAAGAAGCAATTAATATTTAGCAAGAGCATTGTTGATTATTCATCTTAAGCTTATTTCAGGGATTTTCACCTAACCTTTTGTGTACAGGATTTCTTGGCACATAATGCTCCCGCATCCACGGACCAGATTGCAACCGATGTGGAACTAATGGCTGCTCTCAAATTTTAATCAACACATCTTATCCCATATGGTAATTTGTTAGTTGCAATAAAACCATTGGAGCCTTCAGATCTTTACTCATATTTCTTCTTCCTCTTTGTGTGTCAGAGCTCGCACTTTACCTACGAAAGCCATTGAAAAACAGATTTCGTCAAAAGGGGTACACGATGGTATTCCCTAATTTATCACTGATTTCCATGCTGGCCACGTTCGCGAACATTTTGGAGGATCTCACTTTCGTTTTTACTTTTTCGAGGTTTTGCTTCTAAACAAAGAAAGAATTTAGGGAATATTTTACGAAAGAGAAGTAAACGCACTTATTGTGACAGAGCAAAGCCTCACCTACAAATACATGAGGTTCCCAACTACTCAAGCATTGTAGTGATCAAGGAATTATCGTAATTTATTGAAAAGCCAGCGTAAAGCGTTGTGTGTGAGAGAATAGTTTTACTAGACGTGTTAAATTGCTGAGCTCATCAAGTTGTTACACAACCTTTATTTGGCTAACGTTTCGACGTCTTCGGCTTCATGAGAACCGATGATCCCAGTCGATGATCCACAGTTGATCCCCTTCTCGATATGGCGCCTTCATTTTCGTATCAAGTCGAATCTTCCTCAATGGTTCACGGTAGCTAATAATAGTGATTGTACGGTGATAATGACTTTTTCTCGAACAATCACTATTATCAAAGCCCTGCATGAAAGAGCATCGCGAATGAGTGACTATGCCTCATTTGAGAGATGCTCCGTTGAGGAAGATTCGACTCGATATGAAGATGAATACACTACATCGAGAAGACGAACAATTGTGGACCATTGATTCCGACCATCGGGTCCGATGAAGACTAGACGTCGAAACGTTAGCAGAATAAAGTTTTGCA